TCTGGGGGGCGAGGGAGCTGAATCATTTGGGTGATTTGATGTTTTACCAAAAAACTCTGCATGAGACATGATGCACGAGCCAGAGCACTGTCATGATAAGCTGCCAATCACCAGTTGTCCATAGCTGTGGCTTTCTGAATCATCCGAATAGTTTATGCAAAGGAATGTTCAAACTTAATGTAAAATTTCATGCAGATTTGCTGCTGTGCTTGCTCAGACATTTTGAATGCCACAACCACATAGTACATATGCTCACTCAACAGCATCTACTGCCCCCTCTGACTAGTACAGTGAAGTTGTCATTGTTCACATATGTACATCCCAGTCCACTCTCCTTGGATGCCAAGTTATGATGTCACACAAGCTGTTCTCATTTTATTAACAATGGCTAGACTTTTTCTGAACAAACCTCATATGATCTGAAGGAACCCAAAACATTAATTTGAAAGAATATATGCACCCATATGGTCACTGCAGTGTTATTTACAATAGCCAAGCTATGGAAGCAACCAAGTGCCAGTTGATAGATGAGTAGATAGAAAAGCAGTGGTACATACAAACAATGGAATATTACTTGGCCATAAAAAGAATAAAATATTACCATTTGCAAAATCATGGATTGACCTAGAGAGAGTATGGTGGTAAGTGAGATAAGTCAGACAGAGATGGATAAATACGATTTTACTTCAATGTGGAATATAAGGAGCAAAATAAATGAACAAACAAAACAGAAACAGACTCATAGATACAGAGATCAGACTGATAGTTGCCACAGGGGTGGGGAGTTGGGAGGCTGGGTGAAAAAGGTGAAGGAATAAGAAATACAAATTGGTAGTCACAAGATAGTCATCAGGATGTAAAGTACATCATAGGGAGTATAGTCAATCATATTGTAATAAATATTGTAATAAGTATGTTGCCAGGTAGGAACTTGTAATATTTGGGGAATCACTTTGTAAAGTATATGATTGTCTAACCACTATATTGTATACCTGAAATATAAACAAATATTGAGTATAAATAGCAATTTAAAATTTTTTAAAAGAAAATAAAAAATATATCTTTGAATACATATTATTTGTACGTATTCAAGAATACGTACCTGTTGTAAATATCAAGAATAAAGTGTTACAAAAACACCATTATAATTGAGCAGAAAGCAAAAAAAAAAAATTAAAGGAAACATTATCTGTATTATAAGCAAGCAATTATTTTGTTATTATAATTAATTCTACACATAATTAACATTGCTAAACTAAACATTTTAAGGATAAAACCATGGGATAGTAGAGGCTTGCAGCCAAGATGGAGGCATAGGTAGATACGCTTCACCTCCTCACACAACCAAAAGAAGGATAACAACCAATTCAAAAACAAAAAAACAATCAGAACTGCCAAAAAAAATTGAACTGTATGGAAGTCTGACAACCAAAGATTTAAAGAAGAAACATTCAACCAGACTGGTATGAGAAACAGATATGGGCAGTCAGGGCAGAAAGGACATGGAGTAAGGCAGTGGCTGGCTGACTAGGCAGTCCCACATTTGCGTGCTGATAAACCTGGAGGAACAACTGGGAAGCGAGACACACCATGCAACCGAGGGTTCCAGCACAGGAAAAGAAAGCCTCAAAACCTCTAGCTGTAAAAATCTGTGGGGGGTTGTGGTGGTGGGAGAAAATCCCAATCTCACAGAAGAGTCTGTTGGAGGGACCCACAGGGTCCTAGAACATACACAAGGCCACTCACCTAGGAATCAACACCAGGACAGCACCTGAAAGGGCACAATTCACTTGTGCATAGTGGGGGAAGTGACTGAAAGCTAGACAAGAGCTGAACAGATGGCATTGTTCCCTCTCAGACCCCTCTCCCACATACAGCATCACAACATTGCAATGTAGTTTGCCCTGCTCTGGCAAACACCTAAGGCTCCACCCCTTACAATGTAACAGGTGTGCCAAGACAAAGAAATATGGCCCAAATGAAAGAACAGATCAAAACTTTAGAAAAAGAAGTAAGGGACAAGGAGATAGCCAACCTATCAGATGCAGAGTTCAAAACACTGGTAATCAGGGCACTCACAGAAATGACTGAGTATGGCCACAAAATAAAGGAAGAAGGGAAGGCTATACAAATTGAAATAAAGAAAAATCTATAGGGAGCCAACAGTGAAGGGGACGAAGCTGGGACTCAAATCAACAATTTGGACCAGAAGGAAGAAATAAACATCCAATTGGAACAGAATGAAGAAACATGGATTCAAAAAAAATGAGGAGAGGCTTAGGAACCTCTGGGACAACTTTAAATGTTTCTACATGGAAATCATAGTGGTGCCAGAAGGAGAAGAGAAAGAGCAAGAAAGTGAAAACTTATTTGAAAAAATAATGAAGGAGAACTTCCCTAACCTGGCAAAGCAAATAGACTTCCAGGAAGTCCAGGAAGCTCAGAGTCCCAAAGAAGTTGGACCCAAGGAAGCACACACCAAGGCACATCATAATTAAGCTAGTCAAGATTAAGATAAGGAGAGAATCTTAAAAGCAGCAAGAGAAAAGGAGACAGTTACCTACAAAGGAGTTCCCATAAGACTGTCAGCTGATTTCTCAAAAGAAACCTGACAGGCAAGAAGGGGATGGAAAGAAGTATTCAAAGTCATGAAAGACAAGGACCTACCTCCAATATTACTCTATCCAGCAAAGCTATCATTTAGAATGGAAGGGCAGATGAAGTGCTCCCCAGATAAGGTTGCTACCCAGATAAGGTCAAGTTAAAGGAGTTCATCATCACCAAGCCCTTCTTATATGAAATGTTACAAGGACTTACTAGGAAAAAGAAGAAGATCAAAACTAGGAACAGTAAAGTGACAATAAACCCACAACTATCAACAACTGAACTTTTTAAAAAAAAACACAAAAGAAAAACTAAGCAAATGGCTAGAACAGAAATAGAATCACAGAAATAGAGGTCACATATAGGGTTATCAGCAGGGAGGAGGTACGTGGAGAATGGAGGAAAAGTTCCAGGGAATAAGAAGCATAATTGGTAGGTACAAAATTGACAATGGGAGGTTAAGAATGGTATATAGGAAATGAAGAAGCCAAAGAACTTATATGTACAATCCATGGGCATGAACTAAAGAGGGGGAATGCTGGTGGGAGGTGGTGTGCACTGCAGAGGGGAATAAAGGGGAGAAAATGGGACATTTGTAATAGCATAATCAATAAAACATATTTAAAAATAAATAAATAATTTAAAAATAGTTCCACTCCTTAATGAGCTTACTCAAATATAGAAGAGATGATTACATGATATTTTCAAAATTCACCATAGTGCAACAAAGAACTATAATTATGACAAGTATAAAATAAGCTATAAAGAATCACGTAGCCAATTCTTAGGAAGCTTCTTTATTTATTCTTTCATTCATTCACCAAGTATTATATGATTATTAATATTAGTATTTTATTTATTTGTTATTAATATTGTTAATTATAATTATTAACATTAAATTATTACTGAGAACCAACTACATGCCAGGCACTGCTCAAGACAGGTGATATCAAGATAAACATAAAAAATCACTGCTCACATGAAGCACATATTCTGGTAGGAGTAGGCAAATAGTAAACATACAGAGAAGTAAAATATACAGTATGTCAGTTTGTAATAAATGGTATGAATAAAAAGGGCAAGTGTATAGAAAGTGCAAAGAGAATGAGAGTACAAATCAAATTTGCTAGTTTCTAAAACATATTGCTTGAGACGGCTTTTTTTAAAATCTCAGTATAACAAATATTTTCCTTTCTCACAGGGTTTCACTGATAAAGTTCTGACTAGCACTCATGGCCCACTGTAGTATGGACATTAGTTGTTTTTCAAGGAAAGCAATAAAATTGTGCTAATAAAATCACATCAACCTTGAAAAAAAATCTGACAGCCAGTTAATTTAACAGCACTTGTGGATGCCACTGGTAAGCAAGGCAAAGCTGGAGGAAGAGAGAATGGAGAAAAAGACACAGAGCCGGGGGAAGAAAAAAATAAGTAAATGGAGATTATCACTGATAACTGCAGGCATGTCTTTGAAGATGTGGCATCCTTAACTCTATTCTCTTGAGACAGCCCTTGCCTGCCCTCTTGTGGCTGGTAGTATCTCTTTCACACTAAACTAAAATTTTTAGTGTGTTTTAGCTAACACGCTAAAAAATTTTTATTTAATGTGACAAAGAGACCTATGAGGATTGCGCTGAACTTCCTTGTCCCTTCCCTCCTAATTTAGCAAAACTGTGTTAATCTTAGATGGCAAACCTTCTACGGGTCCCTGTCACAAGCTACTTGCAATTTGGCAATAGTCAATCCTTTATAATCTGTAACGAAAAGAACCAGAATATCACCCCCAGGTTCCCCAGGCCCCTTTCTCCCTGTGGAACTGGTAGAAATTTTCTGAACTTTGAATCTGACTTTAAAACACACACATACACACTCTAGCACACCCATGTTTCAACATATTTCATTGTCAACTACACGTCAGGCCCTGAGGTACAAGGGGAAGCAATAGCAGACACAGGTACTGCCTTCATGGAGCTTGAGGATTTATGAGAAGTTATCGAGCAAGCACACAAATGTGAACAAACCTACTGAAATAAATACCAAGAAGAAAATGAGAGGTTTCTCTGAGGACCTGACGCCCCATTAATAACCAAGCAAAAAGGGGTACTCCTCGAGCAGTATTTTTTACAGTTTTTTCGGTTAACTAGGGCCCCATGTTTCATTTGATCAATCTCCCAAGTGAGGAAGGCAAGAAAAATAAAAGCAGTCATGCTACTCACGACTGTCTGAGGACCCTGGCGAGCGCGGCAGCCCAGGCGGCCCACCACCTCGTACTGCCGGGCCTGGGACTCCTCACGAGGTCCGCACGGGTCAAAAGACCTCTGCGTGCGCGTGCGCGTGCGCGGGCACGGGAGGGCGGCCGTTAGCGAGCGCGACACTCTGGGTTTGGGGGCTCAGGGATGCCGCGGCTCCTCTGCTTGGGTCTGCTGTGGCTCTGGCTCCTTCCTCTTCGGTTCTCCCAAGAGCAAAGCTACAGAAGCACAGCCAAGAAGCTGTGCGGCAGGCACCTGCTGGAAAGAATAGTAAAACTCTGTGGGGATGCTGACTGGAGCCACTTCGAGAATATCCCTTTAAAAACACAGCTGATTCCCCAGGCTTCGAAGAAAGTTGAAAGCCTCATCCCTGGCGGGTTGAAAAGCTCCCAAACCACTTCCCCAGCCTGGGGGAAAGGCACAGACGCAGGTAAAAATCTAAATCAAAGGCGTGTGCACCTCTGTATATATCCTATCCCGGAATCTGCTCTGCCAGATGGCGAGCCTCCCCAAGAAATGGAATTTGTGTGTAGAACACAGGAAATTTTTTAAAATTATAAACCCGTGTATTATGGATATACAAAACCACTAAGAAACTTTTTTTTAACTTAGAGGAAATAAATGTATATATGTAAGTCTACACATTTATGTAAGAATGCTCCTTCTTCCTTAGCTTTCCCTTGCTTTAGTACCCTTGTAACCTGGCAAACTCCATCTTGTCCTTCAAAGGCTAACTTAAGTATCATTTTCCCCGTGAAGTTGTCATCGACCCTTCCGTAGCTACTTCCTTCATTGATGATGGTTCGATTTGACGGTCAGCGGGACTGGCTACACAACTGGCCCAACCCAGTGCAAGACGAAAATACAGGGCCCCTTGATCAAAAAGCAGAAAAGAGCCATTAAGGTTACTGAAATATAAAGCTTGTTTTCCCTCTTTCTTGTGCGAATCTCTTCTGCTCACACATGGTCCATCATGCTTTCAGACTTCACTTAGAAGTTCAAAGAAAAAATTATTGAGAACTTCAAAACTGTAACAATAGAGCATTAGGCAAAATTCAGTGTCCTTCTAAGCACTAGGTCTATGCAACTAACTACACAAGGTTTATTCCAATAACTATAGCCTCCTATATACAATACCTAGCAGGGGGCCTAGCATATTGTCTGTGCCTAATATATATTAAATTTAAGCAGCCTTTAGGAAGAATATTGTTGTTGTTGTTGTTGTTGTTAATCATCACCCTAGGACATGCTTGTTTCTTTTTCTTGGCAAACCCTGCTAAGGAAAATGAAGACTATTTCCTTAATTTAAAAAAAAAAGTCAACTTTAAAACTCAGAGCTGATTAATGACCCCTTTGTTTCAGATATCATTCATACTTCCCTGGGGGAATGTGTAATTAATTCAATGAGGAGAGAGCTGCAATCAAACAAGATTTATGGGAAATAAAAGTATATCTGACAATATCTCAGGAATGTGTTACCCATCAACATGTTACTATGGGAACTATGATTAGGACATTTTACTGAAGTGGAAATATCGTGTGGCAATAAAGCCGTATTTTTAAACTAAATGGAAGAAGGAAATAATGGATTTAGGTTGTCAATATGAATTTGCATTAAAATTTTTAAAATGTTTAATCTATAAGGGAAGATAACATTTAATCTGATCTGTTAGTGTCCAGGGAATAATTAGAAGTTGTAGAGAGATATAGGTATGTGCTTCCAATATAGAATTTCAATATAGAATATATAGTTGTGACATTTCTTTTACATACAAATGTAGCTACAAAGTTGGTTAACATTTATTTACCTTGTACCAGCAAGACACATTTCTGTGTTAGATCAAAAAATCAGTTATTAATGATTTTTTTATTTTAAAATTAGTTGATATACAGTATTTGTTTCAGCAGTACAACCCCATGATTAGACATTTATATAATTTATGAAATGATCACCTCAGTAAATCTAGTACCCATCTATAATATATAATTATTGCAATATTATGGACTATATTCCCTATGCTGTACTTTATATCCCCAAGACTTCTGTAGCAACCAGTTGATACTTCTTAATCCTGTCACCTTTTTCACCCTGCCCCCCACCCCTCTCCCATCTGGCAACTGTCCAAATGTTCTATGAGTCTGCTTCTCTTCTACTTCTTTGTTTTGTTTTCTAGATTCCACATGTAAGTGAAATCATCTAGCATTTTAGTCCTCTGATGATCTATTTACATTAGACACAGGAAAATATAGTTTGGTACACTGATATTCAAAAATGCTTTTTTTTTTTCAGAGCTACTCATACATATCTTGAATCTGAAATTGTGTACCCTGAAGGTATGGTCCATGTCTCCAAGGACCTACCCCAAAATGTGGCTTCATGAAGCTTGATACCTGTTTCTAAATTCTGGCTGAATATAGTGCTCCCCAGCTCTCAGTGCCAGGTGAAACTGTCAATGTTTCATCACCAGCTTTTCTTAATTTATAATACCTGTTCCATTTAGATTTGCCACATTCCCCTATTTTTGGCTTCCATTCATCTATTCTTGGTTTTTGTTTGTTTAGATATCGTTTTTAAAACTGGACCTTGTAAGACCCCTCTCTATATATTAATTTAACAAAATTTGAGTGCCTATTATGTACAATGTATTTTTCTGGTATCAGGGATATAAAAGTGAATGGTTTCACTCAGGAGACAGTAAAGGCTCCTGTCCTCATGAAGCTTGCAGAATAGAGTAGATAATAAACATAAGTAAATTATGCAGTATGTATACATGCTATAATGTAGACAAACTTTCAAAATATTATGCTCAGTGAAAGAAATCTTGACACAAAAGGCCATAGATAGTATGATTTCATTTTCATAATAGGAGAATCCATAGAAGTAGAAAGTAGATTAGTAGTTTTCAAGGAACTGAAGGCTGAGGGAAAAGGGAGAGAACACTGATAGATACGGAATTTCTTTGGGGGGTGATAGAAATGTTCTGGAATTACATAGTAGTGTTAGTTGAACAATCTTGTGAATATACTTTAAAAATCACTGAATTTTACACTTAAAAATGCTGGACTTTATGGAATGTGAATATCTCAAAAAATGCTTCTTGCGTAAAAATGTGCAAAGGTTTGTCTTTTTAGAGGAAAACACTGCCTACAAGCATTTTAGTTAAAAATATATGTTGCTTTTGAATAATTACCTGACTTTAGTATTCCAGTATCATGATTAAATTTTCAACTAAAGGAAGATTTTAATAAAGTAGAATTTTTTCTCATCTCTCAACAGTCTCTACTTCTGCCTCTCAGGAAGAATTAATAAACAATGTGGAGATGCAGTTACCTCCTGAGTATCAAAATAAAAAGGCCAACTTGCTACCTAATAAGACAAGAAAATTTGCCTCATCACAAGATATTGATTCATATGTTCATGAGATTATAGAATATCAGAAGAAAAATACAAACAAAATTAAAACCTTAAGGAAATTGATTAGGGGGAATCATCTCCAAAGAATACGCAGAGGATACTCAGAAAAGTGTTGTCTTAAAGGATGTACAAAAGAAGAACTTATTATTGCATGCCTTCCATATATTGATTATAAAAACTTAAAAAAAGAAGGAGCATCAGTTGTGACTGAAATATACTAACCATCATAGGAATTATACTAAGTTAATAAAAGCTTAATATGTTTATTTTACTATTTATTTGTTTAGTTTTGGTAATTGTCCTTGTAGGTTCTCTGCTGTGAACACCTGAATGTACTTGCAAGCACTTGATAATACTTTATGCTGATAATAGGAATCTCAGTCTTTTCTTTGTTGACCGCTATTTTTCATAATTTTTATATTTGAAGATGTTACTAGAGATGAATAGGCATCTACGAATTACCTGTTCATACAGTCATTTTGGTAGAAATTCTCTTAAGCTATATTTAAATGGATTATGGAGTGTTCTGCATTCCATGTGTATAATATACAGATTGATGCCCAGGACTATTAGGCTCACTCCAGTATGCCAATACATCTGTACCACCAATTTAAAAATAACCAACACTCTTGTAGCATAGATACACTTTTAATTCCTTGAATTTTGTTATAAAACTCAGTAAATAACTGGTCAGACATTTTTTCAGTTTCCATTGAGGACATAAAATGAGTATAATTCATCTCTTTTGACTATGAAATCTCTCTCCAAGATATTCTCTTTGCTTGGAATATGCTGATATAATTAATATGACACTATATTCCATCTTGGTTTCTGTTTTCTTGGGTGGGCTTGAATGATAAAGCCCCTGACAATGATTCAGAAAGTGGTTTTGAATTGGTTTAGGGCAAGGATGGTAAATGAGTTTTATTGTAAATGGAAACACCAAGTGATTGCTTGTTTGCAGTTCATTTGATTTTTAAGTAAAAATAAAAGATAAATTTTCATTTTCACCAGTAACTTTATTGAACAACGTAGTCACTGTTTTGTCTCACTAACTTCTGCCATCTTTCAGGTAACTTCATAATTCGGTCTTCCCAAAACTTTTTATCTTTTGAGCAAATAGTTCCAGGTACCTTTTGTAGTCTTCCAGGGAATTGAAATTATTTTCCATTAGGAGAATTTTGTAAAGACCAAAATAAATGGAAATCCGAAGGTATAATGTCTGGTGGTTACAGTGGATGAATCAGAATGTCCCAGCCAAGCTGTAACAGCTTTTGCCTGGTCATCAAAGAAACATGTGGTCTTGTGTTATCCTAATAGAAGATTATGTGTTTTCTGTCAACTAATTCCAGATGCTTTCATCGAGTGTTACTTTCAGTTGGTCTCATTGGGAGAAGTACTTGTTGGAATTAATCGCTTGATTTTCCAGAAGGAACTCATAATAGAGGACTCCCTTTCAATCCTACCACATACACATCACCTTCTTTGGATGAAGACCAGTGATTGGTGTGGCTGGTGGTGGTTCATTTCACTTGCCCCACAATTTCTACTGTACCACATTCTTGTAAAATATCCACTTTTTGTTGTCCGTCACAGTATGTTTTTAAAAACAGGTTTTCTTACATTTAAGTAGAATATCACATGTGGAAATATGGTCAAGAAGGTTTTTTTCACTTATGTGGGACCCAAACATCAAAATAATTAACATAACCAAGCTGTGATTTCAATATGTGATTTGGATATTATGAGTATGTTGGCTATCTCTTGCACAGTATAATGTTGATTGTTCTCAATTATTGTCTGTTTCATCGCTATCAACTTCAACTGGTCTACCTGACCACGGAGCAACATTCAATGAGAAATCTCCAGCATGAAACTTTGCAAATCACTTTTGACATGTTTGATCAGTCACAGCACCTTCTCCATACTCTGCACAAACCTTTTTTGTGTGTGTTGCAGTTGCATTTTTACCTTTCTTGAAATAATAAAGCATAATATGCCAAAAATGTTGCTTATTTTCTTCCATCTTTAATATTTAAATGGCTACGCAAAAATACACCAATTTTGATAAGTTCTTTTTTTAATGCATGTTGATATGACAGCTACCACAATACAATCTAACAAAATTGTTTCAAATGAAGTGAAACACAACTAAATGCTACTAGAACCATCTTATGGGGGGGAGGGATGAATAAACTTTTTGGCCAACCCCATATCTCTTCACATGCATTTTAAAACCTCTTCAACAGTATACTTCGATTCTCCCTCTTGTCTTTTTTGTTATTTATGTTATATGTTCTATTCCACATCTAGTATAAATCACATTACATTTTTATTATTTTGTTTTAAACAACAATCTTTATTCATATGCTTTTAATGAGATTATTGCCATTCTGTACAATTTTTTAAACTGATTTTTACATTAAGTCTATGCCCTATAGTCATCAAAAATGTGTAGTCCAATTTAGACTCTAGCTTCTTAAAATCAGTTCTGATTGCTCATGAAGTCTTTCTACACTACAAACTCAAATCTGCATGAATTGTAAATACTTGTATGCCTTCTATAGTACAAACATTTATCAGGTCTGCTCCATTAAAGCTATCCAGAAACATAATTGCTTCTAATAATCTATTTTATCATACTTTATAGTGGTATATCCATGGATTTTCTATATACCTAATCTTGCACATAAATAAATCTACATATATTTTTATGTTTACCTGGAGATAATAAAACAGAATTCACTGTACTCATTTGTAGCTATAAGTTTAATTTTATGCAGAGTATTATATCATCCATTTAATTTAGTAATTCCATTAAAGTCCTCTGGATTTCTGGCCAAGATGGCAGCATAAGTAAACACAGTTCACCTCCTCACACAGCCACATCAAACTTACAAGTAAACTATAGCACAACCATCATTCAGAACCATCAGAAACTGAGCTGAATGGAAGTCCTACAACCATAAAATAAAAAAAGAAATCAACTATGGAATTAAAGAAGAAACCACATCAAGACTGGTAGGAGGGACAGAGACACAGAATGGGACATACACATGTGTGGCAGATAACAATCAGGAGGGATATCTCAGGAGCAGGGGTTGCTAACCCCACACTAGGCTCCACAGCCCAGGGTTCCAGTGCCAGGAAGATAAGTCTTCATAACTTCTTGCTGTAAAAACCAGCTGAGATTGATGTGTGGAAGATAAAAACTGCTGGAGTCTCAGTCAGTTCCTCTTAAAGTGCCCACATTCAAACATACTTGGACTCACTCCCTCTGAGCTCCCCCACCAGGGCAGCAGATGAAAGGCATCAGAGACATATGGGGAGGAACTGATGATGTCCATGGCATCAGTGCAAGAGCTGGGTGGGCAGCTTTCTCCCAGATAGAGCTGCTAGCAGAGGCCATTTTTCCTTTAATGAATCCGATATCCACAGAGCCACAGAGTCAGCAGGCAGGTACCATATCTGAGAATTCATACACCTTGTTTGCCTTGCTCTGGTGACTCACTGAGGCCCTGCCCACACAACTTTTGGGCTGACCCAAGCTGTTTCCAGTGGCTTTTCCATACAAATGACTTGTCTTGGCCTGTACTTCAGATTTTCCCAAATTCTCTTTAAAAAACAAGCATCTGGCTTCACCGAGCACCATACCTCTTACTAAGTTGTCCAGGCCCAGTACTAGTAGCAGCTTGTCTTAGTTCACAGTTTGGCCTTTCCTGGGCACCTCCAAGCCCAGCACAAGTAGCAGCCATCTGCAGATCACTTTTTGGCTTATGCTGTGTGACCCCAAAAAGAACTTAGTCAGTGGCTGACCTTGGACATGCCAACAGTAATCAAGGCTCAACTACAACAGGTGGCTGTACACACCCTCCATGGTAGGCATACCTTGAGTACCCAGCTTGGGTAATAGGGGAGGCTGTGCCACTGGACTTTACAGGACACCTGTTACATTGGGCCACTCTACAAAGCCTGGGACACATTGAAGCTCTACCTAATCTATAGAAACAAACACTGGGAGGCTGTCAAAGTGACGAGACAAAGAAATATGGATTAAATAAGAGAACTGAACAAAACTTCAGAAAAAGAACTAAACAAAATGGAGATAAGCAATCAAATGGATGCAGAGTTCAAAACGTACTCAAGAAACTTGATGAGGACCTCAACAGCATAAAAAAAATCCAATCAGAAATGAAGGATACACTAACTGAAATAAAGAACAATTTACAGGGAATAAACAGTAGAGTGGATGAAGCTGAGAATCAAATCAGTGATTTGTAATATAAGGAAGCAAAAAACAACAAATCAGAACAGCAAGAATAAAAAAGAATACAAAAAAAATGAGGGTAGTGTAAGGAGCCTCTGGGACAACGTCAAGAGGACCAACATTTGCATCATATGGGTGCTGGAAGGAGAAGAGAGAGAGCAAGAAATTGGAAACCTAGTTGAAAAAATAATGAAAGTAAACTTCCCTTAGTGAAGAACATAGACATACAAGTTCAGGAAGCTCATAGAGTCCCAAACAACATGCCTCCAAAGATGTCCACTCCAAGACACATCATAATTAAAATGTCAAAGATTAAAGACAAAAACAGAATCTTAAAAGCAGCAAGAGAAAAACAGTTAATTACCTACAGGGAGCTACCATAAGACTGTCAGCTGATTTCTCAAAAGAAACTTTGCATGCTAGAAAGGATTTGCAAGAAATATTCAGTCATGAAAAGCAGAGGCCTACAGTCAAGGTTACTCTACTCAGCGAAGCTGTAATTTAGAATCAAAGGACAAATAAAGAGCTTCCCAGACAAGAAAAAGCTACAGGAATTCACCACCACCAAACCAGTATTATATGAAATATTAAAGGCTCTCCTTTAAGAAGAAGGAGGAGGAGGGGAAGAAGAAAAATATAAACAATAAAATGGCAGTAAATACATATCTATCAACAATTTATTCTAAAAAAACAAAGAAGCAGAACAGAAATAGCATCATAGATGTACAGAATGTTTTGATGGTTGCTAGATGGGAGGAGCATTGGGGGATGGACAAAAAAAGTGAAGGAATTAAGAAGTACAAATTGGTAGTTACAGAATAGTCATGGAGATGTAAAGTACCACATAGGGAATAGAGTAGCCAAAGAACATATATGCATGACCCATGGACATGGACAATGGTGTGGGAATTGCCTGAAGGATGGGACAGGGGGACTGGGTAGGTGGGGACAAGG